GAATTTGAAGAAAAATGAGAAAAATTGGAAGAAACTGGAAGGAACTGGAAGAAATTGGAAGGAACTGGAAGAAACTGAAAGAAAATGGAAGGAACCAGAAGAAACTAGAAGGAACTGGAAGAAACTGAAAGGAACGGGTAGAAACCGGAAGGAACTAGAAGAAACTGGAAGAAACTGAAAGGAACGGGTAGAAAGAGTTAGGAACTAGAAGAAACTGGAAGAAACTGGAAGTTAAGAGTTCAAGCCCTAAAGAACATGCTCTTAGTGTACCGCTAGAATTTTTGTATTTCAATTAGATTAATTTTAAAAAGATATCCCCGTTGTCAAATTTATGTAATACTCCCTCCGTCTCATAAAGTGTTACCCATTTTGACTAAAGTTGAAATTAAGGGAGAGATAATTTTGTGTTGACTTTCCAAAAATACCCTTGATGTAATTGGTAAAAGTAGGATGTGATGTGTAGATTATTAAAAAAAGGTATGATGTGATAGGTAGGGTTTGAAAAAGTAAGGGGTAAAAGTAGTTTTTTAATAGAAATGTGTAGGGTGGGGGGTTTAGGGGGTGAGTTAGGAGAGGTAGGAACCGTCAATTTTACGAACGGAGCACCGGAGGTGCCCCAAAAACCCAGTGGCATCGCTAGTGGCACCGTTCTCCGGTGTCACTAGAACCGGCCGTAACATATTTGGACCTTCTAATAATCTATCGTTATTTAACTGATCCACTCGAAAGTTACTCCCCGTCTCTTTTCTTTTTCGTTCGTTTTCATTTGCATTAAAAAATTACTTTCACCTATATTAATTCTTAACCTATTTATAACATCATTTTTGTTCACTATTAATTTACTTATCAAATTTATTTTTACTCATTACATTTAATAACATTTTTAGGAATTCAACACCAAAATACACTTTCTTTAAATCTTTTAAAAAATAAACCTCTCATGTTTTTAGAGACGGAGGGAGTAGTATTTTAAAAATTTTTGTTAATTAAAATAATTTTCATCATTATTATTCTTAATGACCATTAATTTTACATAATACTTTTATTTTGTGTATCATATATACCAATATGCATTTCACTATTATAAAAATGTTTAATCTACTTAATTATTTAAATTTTTTTAAAAAATGTTCTTTAAATTTTATCAGTAATTTTAAACAACAAACATTTCTATAAAATTTATTACGTATGCACTTTAAAAAAAATACAAATAGTATTTCTAAAAAATCAAATCTAACCTTTCACTTAAAAATATTTATATAGTACATATTTTATAATTACAAGAATTAGTAAAAAAAATAATTATTAGAAAATTAGAATAAATAAGTTCATCCTCCGGTTCTATTTTGTATACCAAGTTAGTTTACTTGATATACGTAGTATTTTTTAAATATTCAAGTTTTATTTTATATTTTTATACATATCTCTAAATAAGATGATTGAAAAAACTTACATTTTTATTTCGATTGGCTTAAATGTAATTTGTATAGAGAGGAAGGGAGTATTTTAATTGAAAATACAATTTTGTCAGAAATGTTATAAATTGTTGAGGGCAAACACATGTGCATTTCAAGTGTTTCGAGTCTCAGAGTATGTGACATCCAATTTCCGTTGTAGATTTGGAAAATTCGTACGATATTCTTTATCTGCAACGGAACTACGACTAAAATGAGCTGTCGCAAATTCGTTGTCGCTAGGCCATTATCCGCCACGAAAAATACAACCGTCCTAGATCTGCGACCACCCTGCGACAGAATAGCGGAGATCCAAATCCGTATTCTCCCGTCGCAGATCTGCAATGGAAATTGCTACGAAATGTAATTGCATGCACGATATGGTTAAAACATAAAACGAGGGTTTATATGAACTGACAAGCTCGGATGCAAGATCAGTCTGACGGACGTGTCATAAGTCATAACATAAATTACTCCGTATTTTTTAGGTAGTATTAATTTCTTTTCAATAAGTAGTTGGCGTGGGGAGGTGTGACCGTGTGGGTGGGGTTAATTTTTTATTTTTTTAAGATATATTTCTACTAAATAGTACTAAAACTTAAGTAATTTTTCTAAATAGTACTTAAATTATTTTATTCTCTATATAACACTTAATAATGTCCATAATATTCAATGATGGCGAACATTTACTTCAATAATGACTAAAAATACTACATTAGAGAAAAACACATGTGAGGCTATTTAGGGAAAGTAAATTCCTCTTTTTCTAATTCTTTCAAGAATGTATATATTCCAAGCTAAGTCCTTCAAGTTTCTTATAAAAATAACTAAAAAAATTACTTGTAATGAATATAAATAGCATCGTTTATCCAAATTTATAATATACAGAGTATCTCATCAAATAAGTAATTATTTACCATTTAATTCATTTTACTTTCATGAAAAAATATTTAACTTATAAGAAATATTTGCACTAAATAGTACTAAAACTTAAGTCATTTTTCTAAATAGTACTTAAAGTATTTTATTCTCTAAATAGTGCTTAATAATATCCAGAAGGAAAAATAATGACCCATGATAGAAAATATTCACTTGAATAAAGACTAATAAATAATGATTAAAAGTGCTACATTGGAAAAAACACATATGATGCTATTTATGAAAAATCATTATTTTTTAGTGCTATATAGGTAAAATTTCCCTAACTTATAAACATCTAATAAAAAATACTCTCTTCGTCCCAAATTATTTGCCACATTTGTATATTCTCGAGGCAAAATATCAAGTTTTTTCAATTCATTTTATTTACATATTAGTATAGATATAAAAAATAAAATTTACATATAAAAAACTACATGAAAAGTTCTTCGAAATAAGAGGTGACAAGAATATTTTATTTCACCAAATAACCAATGAAAACGTCGAAAAAAATAAAAGTTCACGCGACTGCTGAAAAAATAAATATTGTGAATATTTAGGGACGGAAGGAGTAGTACTTCTATAGAATAAACAATAAGCGCCATAGAAATTAAACACCTCCTTACTCTTCCTACTTATTATCCTAAGAGCATCTCCAAGGGGTAGTGAAAAAAATGAGAGTGTAAACCTTCTTTTACACTATCAACAGTGTTTTACACTTCCACTTTTTTATACTCACTCCAACCATATCTTTTAAAAAATACATTTTTATATTATTTTAGTATATATTTCATAGTTTAATTTTTAATCTTTACTAACAAATTTACAAATCTACAAAACAAAATCCATAATTGCATATCAAAAGGAATTTGTAGTTGCCGACATCAAAATGAAAAAAAAACACAGCCGCCTAGCTTGAAATTGCAGGCAATCACAACAATTTTTTTATGCAAATCCAGATCTCCATAGTTGCAGAGGAGCAACGAAACAAAATATTTAGCGATTGGCGAACGGGAAGAGCTCGATTGGCAATTGGCAAAGTAGAGAAGAGAAGATAGCAACGAACAAGCGGAACTTGATTTCCACTATCTACCCTAGCGTGTATATTTGGCATTTGAGAATGGAAAAATACACTCCCTTCTATTTTATACACTACCCGCTGGAGCCCTAAATTTTGTACAGTAAATGCTAAACCTTCCATTTTTTAGACTTTACTCATTTTTGCACTACCCCTTGGAGATGCTCTAAGGACCTGTTAATTGGTTGATGTGGAGGGGTGGGGAGGAAAGAGAAGTTGAGTCTCCTCTTATTGATAGGTGCTACACTTACATTCAAAATTGTATCTCATTTATACACCGCAGTTATACACAAACATTTTGATGGTTTACACTTACACAAGTGTTGGTGCGTTAATATAAATTTACATGGACACAAAGTGTTAGTGCATTAATAAAAATTAGTTTTACACCAACACAAAGTATTGGTACAAACCTGCAGGATATAAAATGGGATACAAAAACTTAGAGTACAAATAACTTATCCCCTCTTATTTGGTTTTAAAGTACGGAAAGGGAGGGGGAATCCAAAATTTTAACTTCAGTTTCCTCACATCCCTCCAAATTAATCCCTCCAATTCGGAACAAGTCTTCATCCCTCCTCTTTTCTTTTGTCAATTTTTTCTTAACCTTGACAATAAAAAATGTTAATAATTATAGAAAATAAAAAAAATTAGTAAATAATAATAATAATAATAATTTAACAAACAGTTAAAAAAGATAAAATAAATAAAAATACACAATTTAATAACTATAACAATAATACTTATAATAATTATACCTAATACTTATTAAATAAAAATAAAATTATTCAAATAAATAATAAAAATAATACTCCAATAGTAAAACAATAAAAAATAATAATAAAAGTAGTTAATATAGTAATAGTAAAAAATTTAAAATAGCAAAATAATAAACAAATAAATAGTAAGAGTTATGAATAATAAATAATAGTTAATATAGTAACATTAAAAAAATTTAAAACCAAACCCAAATAAATAAAAATTTTAAAATTATGAAAAAAATAATAAACAAAAGATATATTCTAATTATAATAACAATAAATATAAAACAATAAATAATACTCCGGTAAGTAAATAATACTCCCTCCGTTTGGAAAAAGTGTTCCTTTTTTGACTTAGTGTAAAAATAAGGAGTATTAAATTGTAGTTGATTTCCAATTTTGCCCTTGATATGATAGGTAAAAGTAATATGTGATAGATAAATTATTAGAGATAAAGTAAGATGTGATAGGTAGGGTATGAAAAAGTAAGGGTAAAAGTGGTTTTTTAATAGAAAGTGGAAGTGGTTTGTTAGAAGTGGAAAAAATGAAAGAGGAAGTGTTTTTGAGAACGGAGGGAGTATAAGTAATCCTAATGATAAATATAAGTAATTCTAATAATAAATATAAGTAAATAATATTAAACAATTTAAAAAATAAAATAAAAAACTTGTACTAATTAAAATAAATAATAGATACATAAAATTTAAAACAGAAAATTAAAAATAAAAATATTAATAAAAATAATAATTAAAGCTCTCCTCCTCGCACTCTCCAACGAAACAAGGTGAAGGGAAATGTTGCAATCTGTTCTCATCATTTCCTCCAGCTCCCATCTCTCCGATCCCAACCAAACAGACCTTAACAGGCAGCGCTAGCTAGCCCGCTAGCCTTGCCTATATAAAGGGAAGATTGAAAGGCGGAGCCGCTACACAAATGGGGCTAAAGGGTAAGTTGATTGCCGCAGTGGAGTTCAAGGCGGGCGGAGATGTGTTTCACGAGCTTTTCAGGCACAAACCACACGACGTGTCCAAAGCCAGCCCAACTGTCCATGGGTGCGATCTGCACGAGGGTGAGTTTGGACATGTTGGCTCCGTCATTTGTTGGAGATACAACCATGGTAGGATCCTAAACTCTTCTCCTTACTTTGATTTTTATGAGATTTACATATTTTCGCGTTGGCTTTTTCTTGTATTATCATTGATGTGTTGAGTAAAAATATGATGCGATAGTGTATTATTAGTGAATAAATATGATGTATTATGTATAATCTAATTAAAATTAGTTTGGATGAAAGAGATTTTTTAATAAAAAATGAGAAAGAGATGTTGGGGCAAAGATAAAAAAGAATACTTTTTGAAACAGAGAGAGAATACTCGTTTTTCTTTTATTCTTATTTAATATTTATAGTCTTTTTATCACTCCATCCGTCGTCCTAAAATATTCTACTCACTTATTTTTCATACGGTCAAAATTTGAATCGCTATTTTTACCTATTTTTATTAGTGTTTTGATAATACAAAGTAAAATATACTACTTCCGTCCTAATGTATTTGTCTAGTTTGACTTTTTCGAGTCATTCTAGACAAACTTTGAACTCTAATTACTTTCAATTTATATTGCATATTAGCATAATAAGATATAATTTTGTAAGTTCTCAATACGATGAATCCAATAAAATCATTTTTATGTTAAAATACATTATACTCCCTCCATCCCAAAAAGATTTACACCTTTCAAAAAAATTGCGTCCCACAATCTCCTACCCATTTCAATTAAAAAACCACTTTTACCCCTTACTTTTTCAAACCCTACATATCACATTATACCTTTTTCCTAATAATCTACACATCACATCTTACTTTTTACCCATCACATCAAGGGTATTTTTGGAAAGTCAACACAAAATTATCCCTCCCTTAATATCAACTTTAGTGAAAACGTGTAAATCTTTTTGGGACGGAGGTAGTAGTTTTTATTTAAGAAATATTTGCACTAAATAGCACTAAAACTAAAGTCATTTCTCTAAATAGTACTTAAATTATTTTATTTCCTTAATAACACTTAATAATGTCCATAATGACCAGTGATGATGAATATTTGCTTGAATAATGACTAATACATAATGACTAAAAATGCTATATTGGGAAGAAAAACACATGTGGTGCTATTTAGAGAAAGTCATTATGTTTTAGTGCTATTTAAGTAAATTCCTCTTTATTTAATTGAAGCTCAAAGTTTGTTCATTTTGACTCGAAAAAGTCAAACTAGACAAATACACTGTGACGAGAAGAGTAGTTTCGTAACAAAGAGTTGGAGAATGTTACAAAAATTAGTTTTACACCAACATAAAATATTGGTGCAAACCTGTGGTGTACAAAGTGAGATACAAAAGCTTGGGGTAGCTTTATCCTACTCCCTCCGTCCCAAATTATTTGCAACGTTTGCTTTTTCAGTAGTCACGAGAATTTTTGTTTATTTCTACGTTTTCATTGGTTATTTGATAAAATAAAATATTCTTGACACCTCTTATTTCGAAGAACTTTTCATTTAGTTTTTTGATATGTAAATTTTTTTTTATTTCTATACCAATATGTAAATAAAATGAATTGAAAAAACTTAATATTTTGTTTCGAGAATACAAATATGGCAAATATTTAGGGACGGAGTACAAAATACTGTATATTCTAACTAACAGTAATGACTAATCCCGCCGACAAACATGGAGGCCAAGACAACGTCATATCAAATTATCATTTTATTTTTCATTCTCTTTTCCATTTTAAGGCGTGGTTTTCCTTCTCTACTTCTTTCACTTAATCACTTCTATGAATTAATAGGTGTTGAGGTGTACTATTTTTTAGTGCTTAATTTATTTTGAATTAATTAAATTAAAAACATAAAATACAATTAAATAGCACCAGTAATTACTTTAAAAACCGAAAACAATACTCTCTCCGTTCTAAAAAACACTTCCTATTTCATTTTTTTCACTTACAACAAAACACTTCCACTTTTACCTTTACTTTTTCATACCATATCTATCACATCATACTTTTTCTCTAATAATCTATTCATCACATCTTACTTTATCCATCACACCAAGGGCAAAATTGGAAGTCAATTACTTCCTCCTTCCATGTATGATCTTCCCATTACGTGTTACGAGGCTTGACCGACTTTATTTTCAATTCAATTTAATTGATTATAGGAGTAAAATTTTAAAATAAAATTTATATAGTAATAAACTACATGAAAAGTTCTACAAAACTAGAGGTGACAAGACTATATTATTTTATGAAATGACTAGTAAAATTGAGTAAATAAAGTGAGTAAAGTTTGACCCTGTAAATAGTGTCTGGGAAGATCTATGGTGGATAGAGGGAGTACAATTTAACACTTTCTTATTTTTATACTTTTTCAAAGTATGAACTCTTTTTGAGAACGGATGGAATATTAAATAAGAAATTAATGCACTTAAAAACCAAAACAAGTTATTTAAAAAAATTTAAAAATGAGAACTTAAAAAAATAAAAACAGAAGAAGCAAAGCAAAAAAAATAAAATAATGAAGAAGCAAAAGAAGAACGGAAAAAAAGAAAGAAAAAGAAGAAGCAAAAAAAAAACAAAGGGGAGAACGGTGTGGCCGTCTCCTCTGTCTAGCTCGCGTCTCGCAGCATAGAGCAATACTACTAACTATGTCCCATTTGACACTTTACATACGATTTACAATATTTAATTGAATTGATTTTACATTCAATGAAATTAGATATTTCAATTCTAATTCTAAGAAAAGCGTGTGAACTTGGATTTCAATTCTAATTATTTGGATTTGATAGCATAAAAATATATAGATCAGTAGATGTAGATTTAAAATCATAATACAATTTGATCCATATCAATTCTAGATACTCCGTACAATTTTGTGTTACTAAACAAAGGATTTGAACTTATGATACCAAACAAAGGTTTTGAAATTAAATTAGAATTTAATTCTATCTAATTTAATTCTAATTTTATGTACCAAATGAAGCTGGAAAAAAAAGAATCTACATAATAAAAGTTCACATGAATACATGATTATAATTATTACTCAAATTAAACAGCATGTTAACTTGTGATATGATATGATGCACGTACGCACATGCAGACGAGAAGGACAAGAGAGCGAAACAAGTGGTTCAAAAAATAGACGAAGAGAAGAAGCTGATTGAGTTCAAGATGTTGGAAGGAGACTTGATGGAGGAGTACAAGACTTTCTTGATAACGATCCACGTGGAAACAAAGGAAGGCGTTGACCTGGTGACGTGGACCTTAGAGTATGAGATGCTCAATGATGACGTGGGCCATCCCATCTCTTTGCTCTCCTACTTCATCAACATCACCAAAGAAATTGAGACTCATCACACTCCAAAGCCAAGTGTTGAGTAATGGTAAGAATAGAGTCATGCTAGGGGTACACCAAAATGAGATACTCATTTGTACATCAGGTAATTCCAAATATAGACATTTACTGTTCGTGACCACAGACACTAAGTATCTGTATTTGTCTGGTGTACAAATGGGGTTCTTTATTTTGGTATACACCTAAGTTTATTCATAATAATATACTTTATCGGCCTAGTTCAATTTGATATCCATGCTTTTTTCAATCCATAAAATGATCGTTTTATTCGAATAATAATGATGATATAAATTGTCGACTAGTAACAGATTTTGTAGCGACATGTTAACGATGATGTTCGTCACGAAATTTGTTAAGAATTTGACACTTTATTTTCGAATAATAAGTGTTAATTAGAGTGTGTGCTAAGCCTTTGTCATTTGATTAAGAGATGTATGCACAAGTGTGCAAGTGTGCGTGTTTAATTATTCCTTTGTTTAATTTGTTGCTTTTGTTGGGTGCATCCAAATGAAGGAATAAAGGATATCTATTGGGGATTAGAGTAAATGTAAGTGGTGTTTGTTTGATTCATGTATTAAAGGTTGGTATAATGGCGATATCTTAATTGCTTCATCGAACAAATATTCGCAAATGAATGGTATCTGAGTGAACTAGGGGTGGGTACGGATCGTGACGGTTCAGATTACAATCTTATCCCGGTTTGTCCTATAAAATTCAGGATCAGAACAAACCGGGACAGATTCGGGTCGTCCCACTTTGTCCTAATCCCAAATATAAGAAGGAGGTTACTCAATCCAAAAGTCACAAAATGTCAAAAATAAAAGTCATTAACTCCCAAAGACATCCGAAAAGTAGTTGTGTACACCAAGCAATTAGCCGCTGTCCACTGGATTTTTACAAAATTGTGTATTAAAACTTTAAAAGTGAATTAGCTTAATAATGGAACGGAATTTGGCTCTGGAGTCTGGACTTTGGAGTTAAGACCTAATAAATTTTGAGTTGAAACTTGAAGTTAACTTAATTAATTAAAGAATAAGTGTATATAATAGAGTAGATAAAACGGAACAAACGGGACGGATCGGTATAAATTTAAGTTGTCCCGCTCATGTCCCATTTGATAATGGGACGGAACGGGTTCGGGATAAAAAAATGGTGTCCCAATTATTCGGTAAAATTACAAAACAGATTCGAGATTTTTCGGAACGGCCCAACGGGAACGGATTTCATGCCCACCCCTAGAGTGAACTAATCAAACAATTGATATTCTTCTAAGATTAGAGCTATTTTCCGCTCAAGCACCGACTATTAGAGCTATTTAACTTATTATTATTATGAATGAAGTAGAGTATTTGTCTCCTTAAAATTTTCTGGTCAAAATTAGTAAACTTTGACCTCAAGTAAAACAAAAATAATATTAGATAGTGATACAAAAATATTTTTATTAGGTTTATTATATCAAATATTTTCAAAATATTATTTTATCTAATTAATATACAATATATATTTTATTTAATAATAGGTTAAATGTTAAAAACGGTTGAGCGAAAAAACACTACTACAAAAAAGATTTTTTAAATCGGTTATTTTGACCCTTTTAATTCAGTTTTGAAGCGATGCAAATGCTCAGGTTACTTTTTGCATCGGTTGTTAAAACCGATGCAAAAGCCTCTTCCCAGAGTTGGCCCATTTCTGGGAAGGAGCATTTGCATCGGTTATTTGGAAATAACCGGTGCAAAAGCTTAAGCATTTGCATCGGTTATTTCCAAATATTCGATGCAAATGCCTCTTCTTAGAAATGACAAGAAGCTTTTGCATCAGTTATTTGGTAATAACCGATGCAGAAGCCCCTTTCCCATTTCTGGGAAGAGGCTTTTGCATCAGTTATTACCAAATAACCGATGCAAAAGAGAATTTTTTTCAAAAGGTTTATTTTGTTTGCTTCCAATTCACTACATTTTCAATTTTGCACAAAATTCTATGCAAAATATACAGATTCAACAACAACAACAACAATTCAACCCATCAACACAACAACTAACAAAAACCAACAACGAACACAAATACATTCACAAAACCTAAATGCCACAAAATAAATTAAAACAAATTAACTGAACATTTCAGAGTCAAGATGGATGATGTGATGTCCTATTGTTTCTTTCCCCTCAGTTCTACCTTCATACCGAGATTTCGGTACCCCAACCGTGCACTCCAAATCCAAATACTCGCTATAGAATTCAATAATCTCTTTTGCCAAATATCCTTCAACAATACTACCCTCGGGTCTATACCAGTTCCTCACATATCTTTTCAAAATACTCATAAATCTCTCTAATGGATACATGTACCGAAGAAAAACAGGGCCACAAAGTTTAACTTCTCTCACCAAATGCACAACTAAATGGACCATGATATTACAAAATGATGGAGGAAAGAACATCTCAAATTCACATAAGGTGACTACCACTTTCTCTTGTAACTGATCCAACGTTTCAGCATCAATGACCTTACTAAAAATGGCGTTAAAAAAATAACAAAGTGTAGTTATTGCCCCCCTCACATTCGTTGGCAATACTGATCTAATTGCCATTGGCAAGAAATGCTGAATTAAAACATGGCAATCGTGAGATTTAAGACCGTCCAATTTCAAATCCTTCATCGACACACGACTCTTAATGTTTCCAGCATACCCTTGTGAAACCTTTATATCACGTAGACATTGACAAACAGTGATTTTTTCTTCTAGAAAGTGTGTAGCAAACAGAAGGGACAAATGAGTGATGTCCTTTTTTGCGGTCCAAGCTCAGTTCGAATGCCCATGTCTATTAAGTCTTTTCTGACATTAACATCATCTTTAGTCTTCTCAAGAACATTTAGGAGGGTGCCAATAAGACTATCACATACATTTTTTTCTATATGCATCACATCAAGATAATGTGTGACAGATAAGTACTCCCAATAAGGTAGTTCCCAAAATATTGATCTTTTCTTCTAAATAGGACCGTTTGGATCAACTTTCATGTGTGTCTTACCAAATGTATGGTTTATGTTCTTCAACTTCTCATGCAATGCTTTGCCACTCAATACTTTCGCATCAACCTCATTTTCTACTTGACCATTGAAAGCTTTTCTCATGCGACGTTAAGGATGTTAACGTCTTAAAAATCGGCGATGACCTAGGAAGACTGTTTTAAAATCGAATAATTCCGTGCAAATAATCAATTAATTTAGTCTGAGCAAAATTTCTTCTTGATGACATATTGTAATCGATTGTTGCACAAAGAATTAATCGATTATTGAGTTGTGAGAGCTATTCTTAAGTGCAAAGAAGATGGTAATCGATTATTTCAAAAGGGATAATCAATTTTCACGACAAATAAGAAAGACAGGAAGAACACAAGCATGTGTGGCGAGATAAAATATTTTTGTCCAAATCATCTTGTTACCAACATATCCATTGGATGAACGAGACTCCCAATCACCTCAAACAATTATTAAAAATCATTTTAAATAATTAAATGAAATTTGGGGTGTATAAATTGAGTCCTAAAAATATTTTGTGTGTCAAACGATGTCTAAAAATATTTGAATAAAATATTTTTTCTTACCAAAAATATGTTCTAATATCAAAATAAGTATTTTGAAAAATGTTTAACATACTTTTTGTAACTGACTCAATAAAAGCATATTTGAATAGTTAAAAGAAATTTTTCAACTGACTCCAAAAATAAATATTATTTTTATATAACTCTCATAAAAATAATTTTGGAGTGAAGAATATTTTTGTCATTCTTACAATATTTTCTAAGACTCAAATACATTAAAAGTCTTCGGAAATCTTTTTCTTCACTTCCGTAAGGCGCTCTATTAGGCGTCTTGCTCTTTAACAAATTATGTGCTCCTTCTTGAATACTTCAAGGGATTTGGCACTTCAAGTCTTTGTGTTTATCAATGTCGCACATTATTCTTGACTTGAATAACTTGTGTTTGTCAATTATGAAAATCTGTGAGTCAACACTTAATCTCCATATATACAATGGTAGGAGGCCAAATTGAACATTGTTCCCGCCTAAAGTTATTGGGCCGGGTATGGGCTAATTGGGCTAGGTTATATGGTGGGCCTGATTTAGGATATTGGAAAGCAAATGGGTGGTGCCAGGCTGTTTTAAAATGCTAGCTTTAACATAGGGTGGCTGTTTTGCATAGGGTGGCGTGGGTCATGATAAAAAAAATTGGGGAGTGTGAGCACTGTATTTACACGGCTGAAAAGCACTCTTTAGGAGCCCAATTTCCCGATGGTCATTTAATGCTTTGGATTTGAAAAAATATTATGGTACATGGGCATTAAATGCAAGAGATTCTCCCACTAATCCAAGAACATTATTTAACCGAAGTTCAAGGGCCAAATTCTCCATCACCCACAAAAATTTCATACCAACAAGAATACCAAGATGTCCAAAAAGCCTATAAACAAAATGTGGCACATGCTTGACAAAATTGATAACAAAAAATGGCATGGATGCTTAAGTTACGAGCGATCCGCGTTTACCATGTTCCGGCTTGGTCTAAGGGCGGAGATTCCATGGAAGTCATCTTCCACGACGAATGCGTAATTTCTTAGTATAGTTTCTTACACAATATTTTCGTTCTTCGAAACTCATTTCTAAATATTTTCTTTTTTTATGCAGGGGACGAGGATTCATGCTCAACTTAAGAGTCCCGAAAAGAAGTGTTTTGAAAACCAAATTGTTGAAGATGGCGTCTTTGGAATCCTAAATGTTTTTGTTCATGATAATTACCTTTCATGCAAAACAACTTCGCATAAATCTTTGTTGGTTTTTTATCCAAAGACAGAAGTCAAGACGCTTAGTGAAAAAGATTTTCCCAAATTCAAGTTCGATTTGAAATCATTTTTGGACCTTCAATCTCAATCCTGTTTGAACGACCAACTTCTCATCGGTATAAAAAAACTAATTATATTTCTTCCGCAAATTCTGCATTCAATGTTTTTACCTTCACTTTTTCCCAAATCTGTTTTCTATCCTTAACATTTGTGAATTTAAATTGTGCATTCAAAAGAATTTTTTTGAATTATTTTTCTTTTGGAATTTGTGCATTCAAATAAAAATTTATATTTTTCGCGCTTTCTGCTTCGAAATAAACATGTGTGCATTTTAAAAATGCATTCAAAACATTTTTTGAAGATATTTTCATTTAGCAAATTTGTAGTCAAATAAAATTTTGATTAATTTTTTCGGCCGGTGCTGATGTCATAGGAAAAATTGTTGGGTGATCAAAAGTTCAAACACACTTTAAACGAGGTGGAGAAGAGAATTGAAGCAAATGGAAATAACACTTGAAGAACATGAGTATGAGAACATATTTATAAATGACACATAAGAGCTATTTCTTATAAAAATATTAAGTAAATGAAAAAATGCAGAGGCAACCGTTTGGCTTGCACATTATGGGGCGAGTATGTGGAGAAATTCTTGAATTGTTTGACCCAAGGTGTTCCAGGACCTTTTATCTTACTTCTTAGCTTTTGTCGGCCTAAGCGATACCAGGGTAACATTTAATATTTTCCTCAATATTCATCAATTTTAATTTCATTGTTAATGATGTTTAATAATATATTTCGGACTAATTTAAATAATTTGACAGGTTCGGTCACTGTTTCAACTTCGTTTCATGTCACAAAGATGATTTTCGATGGAAACTCTGACTAAGTTAATCAATTCCTATCTAGGTACCATACCAAACTACCCTCTATACTATTTATGACTTTTCTTTGTTTTTTAAAAGTCTAATTAAAGAATTTTTTTATAGCCAACCTCTACAAGTGGATGATGTGAGTAGCATGAATACTTTGATGATGGATGGTGGAAATGAAGATGTGAATGAGCCTCTAAAAATCACTCCTTTGAAGATTCTAATTGATACAACTAAGGTTAAATTTTACGGATTAAATCATTTATATTAAGCATGGTACTATCTTAAATGCATGATTGTCGAAATACAAACTTAATTTTTTTAATGATTTTTAGTATTTAAATAAACAGCCCGGGACATATTGGATTCTCGGTGAGATTTCATCTCTTGAGAATACACCTGATTGGTGTTACCTGGGGTGCACCGAATGCAACAAAAAGGTCATACCTGACGGTTCCCATTTTACATGTTCCGGATGTGATCTTAGGATGCCACATGGGGTTTACAAGTAAGTTGTACTTACTAATTCTATAACTTATGAAGTAAATTCTATGAAAATATACTGCGATGGGAATGTAACATTTCTTCGGTTTAACGGATAGGTTTAAGGTTAATGTGCACGTTTTTGACATCACTGGTCATGCCTCCTTTATTCTTTGGGACCGAGAGTGCAAAGACATTTTAGATGGGAGTGCCCTTGTTCTTAGGGAGATGATGCTTGAGGTATATATCATAAATTTTCATTCTACATGTTTTTTAAAATATAGGGAAAAAAGTACATTTGATGTTGGGCGAAAAGGTTTGTTTAATGTTGTGGTCAAGTCTGAGGGGGTAGTCCTCATTGGAACGGTCCCAGGTCTTTTGGGGTGCGGTCTTTCGTTTCGGATCCAAGAATTCTCAAGAAGTATGAAAATATTTTGGACATTGTTGATGATGACTCAAAGGAAGATGTTGATTTGTGGAATTCTCTTGAAGATCTTAGCCAAAAAGTTCAAACAGTGGTATCAAATTTTAACTTTGTTAAACACTTCTAGATTCATAATTCGTTAGCTCAAAAAAACTATAATGTTATACTGACATTTTATTTTCCTATGTAGATTGGATCAAACAACCCAAGTTTCTAGCCAAGGCGAGGCGACTTCACGGAGGAAGATGGATGCTATTGATGGGAATGATCCGGTTAAGAGACAACTTCTTGACGAGCTCTCAATTACATCTTGCAAGAAGAAGGTGAAAAGGGAGTGTTTGGAAGAATGAAGGATTGGAAAACTGTATTGATTCAAACCCATGAGGAAGAACGTGATTTCGTTTTTTGTCTTTTTTACACATTCCTGGACTTTGTCTAGTTATCCTATGGGGTTTAGACAATTTCTGAAGTATTTGTGGCATATCCAGTTTTTAATCTGGATATTATGTTACGTTTTTTTTATATTTTGCTATAACGGGGCATTTCCAGATGTTCATCTGGATATTTTCTTATATGTGCTTCAATTGGATATTAAGATATTTATTGTGTTTTGAATAAGAATGTCTATTTATGTACGAAAAATTATGCTTCTTAAAATTCTTGATAGTAACTCGACTTGGCAATCACCTTATTCAGGGCACGGTGATGAGAGGAAAAAATGTCGGCCAAGAAGTTGTTATTCCACGGTTATCTCTCACACCGTCAGATTCAAGAATTCCTTTTAGGTTTCAAAGGAAACAATTCCCAATCATGACTACGTATGCTACGACAATTAACAAAAGCCAAGGCCAATCTTTGTCCTATGTTGGATTGCTACTGAAGAAACCGGTATTCAGTCACGGTCAACTCTATGTTGCAATTTCACATGTTACAAGTCGCGAGGGGTTAAAGATCTTGATTTGGAATAAAGACCTTCCGTCAACGAACATAACTACAAATGTAGTTTATAAAGAAGTGTTCCAAAACTTATAACACTGTATATCGACTACGGTCGTTCCTGTACATTACTTTATATTGGGTATTTTAAATATAATTTGTTATCTTTTAATTTTTATATAATTTCATGACTAAATATAATTAATTTTTCCGCCCGTGCATCACACGGGTAGGGGTGGGCGTGAAATCCGTTCCCGTTGGACCGTTCCAAAAAATTCCGGATCTGTTTTGTAATTGTACCGATATATTGGGACCAATGTTCGAAAAGGCGAAACGGAAACGCGCCTCAAGGCTAATCCTGTTTTCACGCTATAGGTTTTTTTACGCTATTCTGTGAAAGGCGTACGCCATGGGGCGTACGCGCCGGTGCGCGCAATAAGGCTTACACAATTCCAGCATTAGAAATTGGAAATTAAACAATTTAAATTTTGGGTATTGAAGGTTTAAGTTGTCAATTACTCCAATTAATTAACCCAATTAAAGTGTATATATCCTAAAATTACCCAAAATTAGTGTCGATTACCCTAATCTTTGTCGATTACCTTTTGGCGAGCTACGAACTGTCTCCAGCCGTCCAGCATCGCCGTTTGCAGCCTTCTTCTCCGGTGAAAAGGTATGCAGTCTTCTTCACCGTCTGCAGTCTGCGTTTCTTTACTCTTTCTTTCTAGCTGCGTTTTATGTTTTGGGTAATTGTTCATTTGTTCTGCGTTTTATGATTACTGATTTTATCAGCTACGTTTTATCTCTGCGTTTTTCCAATCTTCTTTCCACATGTTAATATCCTCTCTTTTTTTCTTCTTTTTTTGATTACTGATGTGCTAATTCATGATTGTATTGTATTGTAATTTGCAGCGCAGAGTGCATCACATACACTAACACATTGTGCATTAACAAGTACAAATTCATGATTATAAAAGCCCCATTACAAAACTTTCAAAAAAATCTAAAGTGTTTCCCCAAAAAATACATTACAAAGCACTTAAATCATTACAAAGAGTTTCACAAAAATAAAAGACCCCTAAAACTGTAAAGTAAAAATGCTAAATATTGGTTGTTTTCCTTCCACGCCATAACCTAGCTGCAAATTGACATCGGAAATCAGCCATGTGTTCAGAACTGCAGTCCAAGCTTAATGGTAAGCCAACCAACAAAGACTCTAGAAATGCAAGCACCATCACTCCACAATTGCCATACCTGCAAGGAAAAATAATATTAAAAAACAGTAGGGGGGTATGATTTTCACCACTCCATGGGAGTACCATGAAGAAGTAATGGCGAACAAACCTAGAGTCCTGTTGCGGAATACCATTGACAGCAATTGTTTCCCATTCCTTCTCCAAAGTGTTTGCACCCACACCCTTAACCGTGCGAAGTAGGGGGGGTATTCTTCTTACTACTTCTTGAACATAAAATGAGGATTTCGGTCCTTTCAAAGAGTCATAAACTCGAACTTGATTTCGTAAGAGGTATATTTCAGCTAGAACCCAATGTCTCCCATCTCCATTCACGGGCAAAAAAATCTACGCATCAAGGGAGAAAAAAAAGAGCTAACTGTCTATTTTACAAAACACAGACATTTTATGTATGTGAAGAGAGATTCACATGAGTTTAAGTTCATGGAATTCAGAAGAAGCATAGTACCTTTTCACAGACAATAATGTTATATGAAGTTCAAATAACAGAACTTAACCATCTACGCCATACAATTCACACAGTGAATGTGATAAAACTCTTGATAAAACTCTGGCATTGAATGTGATAAAACTCTTGATAAGCTTAAGTTGGTATTGCCAGGTCGAGCTAGTCTATTTCCTCTACAAGAGGGATCTTGTCTACCTGATACCATAAAAACCTAATATGCTCCACAAGAATCACTATGTAGAATGATCAATAATTTTAAATTACTTTGGAATTAGCATTATACCTGTGTTGGAGGAGTGGACAGAGAAGAAGGACTTCGTCGCTGGCTGCGAGTTGAAGCGAGAGAAGGAAGACCTGCGATGGAGGAGTGGGCGGAGAAGAAGGACAGAGATGAAGGACTTGGGAGAAGGGAGACCGTCGCAGATGCCGGAGAAGAAGGACAGAGAGGTTATAGAGGTTGAAGCGGGAGAAAGGAGATTTGGGATTTTTGGGGCTGCAGACGAAAAGCCACCCAAAAAATTGAAAAAAAAATAAATTTTAAATATATTGGGTGACATGCTTGGAGGCAAATGTGGTGCCTCTTTAGCATTTTCCGTTGCAAATTCTCTTAAAACCACAATAGTAGAACTCTTGAGTGGTTCACAAAAATTTTCTCTCCTCTACACAAATATGAAATAATATACATTACCTGAGTATAGTTTTTGTTTATTTGAAACTCCGAACTCATTTTATTTAAATCGAAAAAATCAAACTAGATAAATAAATTAATAAATTGAAACGTAGGAAGTATATGATTATATTTTGAAAAAAATGATCTAAACTAAAAGATGAATGTTCTCCCAAGAATTATCAGTTCAGCGGACGAAGTATCGCTGTTTAGATATGGCTACGTCCACCTCAACGTCGTCCGGCTCCGGCAGAGATGGGTCGGCCAAGACTGTGGTGGTCGATCAAATCACTCAGTCTGTACAGTCCACTTCCAATCTCCTCCAACTCATGCTCCACTCTTCCCCTTCTCAGGTAAATCTATAAACACTCTTTTTTTCATCGTGGTTTCTATCATATGATTTCGCAGCATTTACTTTTAAATTTCTTAACTGTAAAGATAGATCTATGCACTTCATCCATTTCCGCTCATGTATGATCTGCAAAATAACCATTTCTGGGTATTTAGAGGGTGTTTGGCAGTGTGCCGCTTTTAACAATTTAGCTTCTGCTTTGAGTAGAAGTGATTTTACTCTGTTTGGTCAGCTTCTGCCTTTCACCACCACTATTTTGTACATAGAACATCGTTTCGGAGAAGCAAGTATGAGGTGCTTTTGCTTTTAGCTTTTGCGAAAATCACTTTATCTATAGGTTAATCACTCCCAAACACACTCTTTTTCCATACCGTATTTTTTTACACTAGTCACACTACTTTTCATTTTTTTGATGTTCTCTTAGAAACTTTCTCTCTACTCCTTAGGGTAGATTGATGTACCCCTGGATGACTCCACCAAAATCCAAACTCTCCCAACATATCCAAAAGTTTTCTTTCTTTTCTTGTATCCAAAATAAAGTGTTTTCCATCCATTTTCACCCCTCGTCGAAAATGAGAAGAAAATAAAAGCCAAAATCTTTGTTTCTTGTTTTTGCCTTTTCAAATCCTTATACAACAAAACCACAAAATATTCTCCTCTTTCTTTCCTAAATCTTGATCCTGAAAGCATGAATAATCGATTATACATAACTGATAATCGACTATTCTATCCCTCTGATTCCTCATCACAAACCAGCAACCTCCAACAATTGATTATCTCCAAACTGATAATCGATTATCTGTATTCTATGAAAATACCTAGTTTTGTGCTAGTCTTGTTAATCGATTATCCTTGAGTGTTAGTCGACTATTGGGTGTCTCTGAACATTCTTGGTTTGGAAGTCATATCTTGGTAATCGATTATCAAAGAGTGATAATCGATTATTCTACATCCCTGAACTTTGAAACTCAAAGCTATTCAATTCCTGTTTGCCTTTTCTAAGCTTGGGTATTAGGCTGAAGTTATTCCCTGATTTTCAACAAAGAATAAAGCCTTTTCTTTCATAAAACAAAAGCATGATCACTTTTGACACAAAGGAACAAAATTCACAAACAAAGTCATTGAATGAATAGTGCTGTTTTGGCATTTTATTCACAATTGTCAAAAGCTTGATTTCCCTTTGTTTTCTTCCATAAAGGCNTGAAACTCAAAGCTATTCAATTCCTGTTTGCCTTTTCTAAGCTTGGGTATTAGGCTGAAGTTATTCCCTGATTTTCAACAAAGAATAAAGCCTTTTCTTTCATAAAACAAAAGCATGATCACTTTTGACACAAAGGAACAAAATTCACAAACAAAGTCATTGAATGAATAGTGCTGTTTTGGCATTTTATTCACAATTGTCAAAAGCTTGATTTCCCTTTGTTTTCTTCCATAAAGGCATAAAATTTCTGCCCAAATAAACCCAAAGAAGATCAGCTCAAAATCAGGAGAAGCATCATGGAAAATCAACTCACATGGATGGGCATTAAGCATTGATTTGTAGGAAAGAAGTAGGAAACTTCCTTGTTGTATTCTTCCTTCCTTTTTCTTGTATTTTTCCTTATTTGTGTTGTATAAATACTTCAGCCATGAGGCCATTGTAACACACCAGATTATTGAATAAAAAGTTTGTGTTACTCTTTGAGTAATTTCATTAAAATAGTGTGATGCTATTTTAGCAAAATTTCCTAATGAAATATCTCTAAAGTTAGCTACTTTTGAGTGCGTGTTAGGAGTCTAATTTTATACATTAGTAGTGATTATTAATGTGTAAAAGAAGATAAAAGCCCCAAGTTAAGATAAGAGTGTGTCATATCTCTTAACACCAACTTGATTTATCCCTTCACTTTTCTGCCCATTTCATTCCTCTCCATTTTCTCTTCATAAACTCCATTCTATTCTATCTTCATTAATTAAAAACACCAAAAAGAACTCTTGCCCACACTCCATATTTCATCCCTTCAAATCCATCGTCCATTTTTCTCCGAAAATCCTTCTCCAAAATAGCTACTCAATAAGACCTCGGGTCTCGGGTATAAAATAGATACTGGGTTTATTTGTGTTAGAATATTCATACAACAGTTGAAGGCATGATTAAATTGCTTCTTTATATTGTCCCGGACATCCTTACCCATTTGTCAAGCCTTCGGGGTTGAGTCTGGCCAAAGATCCACATTTTCAATGTTGTATTTGAGAAAAACTTGTCTCCTGATGGTGGTTTGCTCGGGTTGAGCCACAAAATGTTAATTTCACATATTAGTTGTCCCATGGTTCATGCTGGGTGTGATAAGGTGTGTTAGAAATTTAGAATATCTCACGTTGGTTGAATGCATGAACAATTTTCTTCTTTATAGTTTGTTTTGGTTTTGGACATATCTCACCTATCCTGCTACCTTTTCGGGATTTGGGTTTGATTTAGGCCCAATTTCTATTTTCAATAAGTGTGGTTCGATATTAAACTAACACGCTAGCTATCATATGCATAGGGTGCATATCATGACATGCTTTAAATTGAAATATCCAAGGGCTGTACTGCAAAGTGCATATAGAAGATCATGCATATGATAAAAAATCATAAAGTTTCTATCCATAGAAGTAATAATATATCAAATGTATCTTATTATATGCACTTGGTACATATTTTAGAGATTTCATTAAAGTATTAAACCAATTCTAGGGTGATCTCATGTTTATTGGTTTCGATTTCTTTAGCATTATGGTACGATACCCACTAATTGTTTATAGGTGAAATAGGTTTCTAGACAGATAGGATGAATAGATACGTTGACAATAAAATGTGCATGATATTATTGATATTAGTTGGAATTTTGTACAGAGTATCTCACCTCAGTTAGAAGCTTAAGCCATTACTGATTAATATTCATCCTCAACATTTCCTCCTTCGTCTCAGTTCTCACTTGTGTGACTCACCATCTCCTTTCCAGGCCCAACTGCAGAAACTCCCAAAGAGTCTTTTGGCTAAGACCACCGCAATCAAGAATACATCATTGGTATTGGAGCAATTGCCTCAGATTATTTCATCATTGGATGCACATATGGACCAAGGACTGCAAAGGTCGTTCTCTTCATTTTGTAATTTGTTACTTACAACTCGAGTTATCTATTTTAAATTTTAAAATGAAATTTGAATTTTAGTTGATTTGATTAACATCTCCATTTTATGTGAAAATGATAAAGTAAAGAGGGGAAATCTTAAAAAGGAAAACTCGTAACAGTATGTATTTCAAATGAAATCCCCCTCCCCTATCCAAATGCAACTATTAATGCTTCACATTTTCCCAAGAAAAAAAGCATAAACATAGCAAAAAAGAAAAAAAAATTCATGGTATGTTTACATGAATGCGGCTTACCATGACATCTGTCTTTTGAGTCACGGTTTTCAAATGAAAAATCTGGAAGTAAATTTCTACATGATAGCTTTTTTTTTACAGTAAAAAAAGAACAAAAATATTCTTCTTGGTTATTGATATTTGTTTGCGAGAGTCCATATGAATTACATACAAAGTCGAACACTACAACTTGATTGGGTTGCATGCAAGCTTCAAAAAGGTTGCCTTGGAGGCCTAGATCTCCTGCTAGGCTCTCAACATAGGTTGCCTTAGGCTGATGATTGATTTATTTGTTACTATTGCTGCTGCTGCTGCTGCTGTTGTTATAATAATACTCTGTAATACATTTCATTCGTCTCTAAAACAAAATCACAGTTTCACTTTTCCGGTCAAAGTTAAAAAACTCTGACCATCCTCACCATCATTAACACTCAACAACAATTCCAGTTGAATCCCATGTAGTGGTGTCTGGGAGAGCGAGTGTATGCACACCTTACCTCTATTTGGAAAGTAGAGTGGTGGTTTTCACGACACTCCGGCTCTAAACAAAAGCAACACAGAAAAACATGTTAACGACCATCATTAACATACACAATACGTTAAAATTTTATCCAACTTTTTCTTCAAACTTCTTCGAATTTCTTCCAACATTCAACTCTATTTTTTTGACCCAAAAGAACATTCTCATAGTGGTTTAACCTCTATGCTGAAAAAAAAAATATGGAGTAGTATTTTGTAAAAAATAACTGGATTCAGACAATACGCTTATAGACGACTCACGCACATCTCTGAGTACTTGCGCACCTACACCCTATTTAACGTATGTTACATCTCTCTTGTGATCTAACATTGATTTTTAATCCTATTTATTTAGCACAATAAATTACCTTCAGAAATACTCCTTAATTCTAATATATTTGTCTTCAAGTTTATTACTTATATGTTCAATTCTACATTGATCTAATTCAAAGTTTTGCAGTGTTCCTCAGCTGAAATCTGTGATCCAGCTACTTTCAAACATTGAGAACTCCCAAGTAAAGTCCATATCCAATGCTCGGCTTTTGCAAGAGGTATTATTAGTACCACTTAATGTCATTTCTACAACTTGTTGTCTATGCATATATTGTTTAATAGGAGAAGCATTTCATCCCACAGTAACTGTCCAAACTCCAAAGGGTTTGAATCTTCAATTTCTCTTCGAATTAAACACGTATAATAGTTACCCACACTTTTGAATCCCATATATTTCCCAGGAATCTGAATCCGCAGAACAACCATAAGTAACATTTTCCCTGGAATGTCATTGTGGCCTAGAAGATTGGTTCAATATTCGTAGAATCGTCTATGTGTGTCATTTGTGAACTCGGGCGAATATTTTTAGAAAGGTTGTGCTTGTTAGAAAGGTGCACCACTAGCCAACTTGGGTACAATGGGCATGGCCGTTCGGTACCTTTGGTTCATGGTAATAGTTGGAAGAATTGTAAGGGGCGTTTGGTGCTCGGAGTCTCATTGGAATTTGGAATTCATTCGCAATGGAGTTTACATTTGGTGAGCTTATTCACAGTATAATCAGCCTTATCAGTTTGATTTCTTACCAAACACTAAATTACTTTACTGCATAGATAGGAATTGGTCAATATTATTTTGGGTATTGATAATCATTTCTCATTGGGCAATTGAAGAGCACTCCAAATAAGAAAAATTATCATTAAATAAACTCCATATAAGAAAAATTATCATTAAACAAATGGCATGGTTTTAGAGCCACTGCCCCGATTGACACTGCGGCTCCTTTACAAAACTAATGGTTTCTACCCCTAACCTCCTTTGCCTTCACTCCAGCCCCCCTTGGATCGTTGATTGGCAATTGGAAATTCCAGGAAATTCAAGTTTTTAAAGAGAGGCTATCGTTTCACACTAATTTATATAAATAGAGCATGTACTTAAATGTAATTTAATTTACAACAACTATTTATAAATAACTAAGTTTAGTACTCTCGTCTCAAACTAAGTGATATTTCATTCCCATTCTTTTCCTATTTTTGTTTAAAATTATATATTCATGTTGCAAATTGTTCTGTAGAGCTTCTTATGTAATTTTATAATAGTTAAATTTTATTTTTTAATTCCACTATAATTTTCAAATAAATTGGATTAAAATTAACTTTAGTCAAACATCGTAAAATGAAATAGATGATTTAAATCAAGAGAGGGAGTATATATTTTTTATGAAAAATTAATCCCTCAAAATGCTTATTCAATCAACCAACCACAAACTTCTAAATGGCTCAGAGTAAGTGCCTCAAACTACTGATGACTTCAAGCGTAGTCGTCGTTCAAAATTCCAAATAAGGGGAAAAAATGCACTTTGTAGGGCATCATGCCTCTCACTATAAATTTGGGACACAACCTAAAATCTTCATTCAACACACTATCATCACTACCTGTCTACCTATCCCTAACAACAGTCTGTCACAGCTTGGAAATGGGCGGCAGTAAAGGAGGCGGCGGGAAAGGTGGAGGTTCGGGAGGAGGCGGAGGTGGTAGAAGTGGTGGCGGTGGAGGAGCCAAAGGTGGTGGCGGGGCTGGCGGTGGCGGTTCATCCAGAAGCGGCGGTGGCGGGTCCGGACAGATGCCTGCTCCTGGCACTGGCGGAGGGCAGTACATTTCTAGGGCTGGGTTTGAAGCCAACCCGCAAGGGTATTTTGCTGGGTTGCATGCCAGCCAGAAGGGCAAATAAGTTTAATAATCACTGCACTCAGGAAGGAGAAAAACTTAATAAATACGAGAAATAATAAAAGCATGAATGAAGTAATTTAGTATCAAGTGTAATGTGCTTCTACCTCTAAAACTAATGAATGTTTTGAATAAATATTAATTTCTATATGTTGCTATCCTGTTTGTGTTTTTGTTGTATATTGTGCATTACATTACTCTGCACACATTAAAAAAGTGCAATGTGATATGACAGCTTTTTAATTTAAAAAAACAATAATATTCTCGTTCAAATTTATTTTTCTCATTTGAATTAAAATTTCATTTTTTTTAAAAAATAATTTTATTAACAAATTAATGATCTCACTGAGTTGTAATTTTCTAATACATCAAAATAGAAGGCAACTACACGCAAACCGAAAGGTAAATTGGGTTTTTCTCCCCCTCTCTTGTCCTTCAAAGGCATATATGCGTTGGTACTGTAACTTACAGCATTTTTTTTTCTTTTTTGGTTCTAGTGTTTCGCTTTTAGATATTGTAGCTTCAATTGTCTTTAAATATAATTTCTTATTCACTTGTTTCTATTTTTTGTAATTTGTAAAGTATAAAAAACAGTGAGAAAAAGAATGTGTTGTTGGAACATTTTATTGAGATTTGGTTTTAGTATAATGGTTGGTGATGAGTATATTGGGCCGAAAAATAAATATTAATGTAATTAGTCGAATATATTTGTCTAAGTCGTTAAGTCCAGCGATTGGCCCAGACCCGAAGGCAACCCATGAGTCGACTAGTGGGTCAGCCCGCCTGGGCCTTGAGGAGTGTTTATCAAGCTGGAGCCATGTACGCTAGCTAGGGCTAATTGCTTGGGGAAAGGTTTACCTAGTTTCCATCAGTTGGAGAAGTTTGAGTTTAGTGTAAATGGTTGGAGATGGTCTTAGGACATAATGTTGTAAAAGGCCAGTGTGGGGTTGTTTCATGGAATGGAGCATCTAATGTGTGCTGGTGGAGGAGAGTTTTTCCATGGAGCATGTTACATGTACCCTAAAATTTGTACCCTATTTGTACACCAAAGGTATGCACCAACATTTTGATGGTTGACACTAACAGGAGTGCTTGTGCGTTAACAAAAATTTACACTGACACAAATTATTGGTGCGTTAACAATAATTAGCATTACACCAACACAAAATGTTGGTGCATCCATGCGATTTACAAAATGAGGTTCAAATCTTTGGGGTACAAATAGCTTTATCCTTTTTCCATAGTCTAGCTAGGAAAGTGATTTCTTTGTATAACAATTTGTTTCTTACTATAAAGCATATATAGTCTGTGGCAGAAAATTCTCTAAAAGGCAATAATGAACAAGCATTTGGTTGATTGGAATGACTTTAACTGTGTTTGGTTTTTACTTTTTAGCACCATCTTATATGTTTGATTGGTTGTAATAGTGTGATTTTGTGAATACAGACCTTATAAATGGTATAGGTATTTTGCTTTGAACAATGACATTTTGCACAGACACTCTTTTATGTTATCACTATTTTGCTTTGAACAATGACATTTGTGTACACACTCTCTTCTATGTAAGGGTTTTTTGTTGGAACAATGTTGTTATGTGCCTCATAGACATGAACTATGTGTGAGAATGAAAAGGTTGGTTTGACCAAACTTGGATGTGATACAATTTTAAATAATTAGTCTTGTTGATTAATGAAAGGTATGTATATACATACATACATACACACATACACACACACACACACACACACATATATAGGAAATACAAAGAGAATCCTAACGGACCACTGTTGGTAGCCCATGTCATTTTATGACTCAAGGTTCAAGGTCAAAAGATCTTTACCTATTATTATTATAAGATCTGAATTGATTTGAACTAATCTGAATGGAACGAATTGAATTTGTTTCTTGTAAAAATATGTAATAAGTATAAAAAGTTATTTGAAGAAAACACGGCCTCAGCCTTGGGTTGGCAAGTTAAAATTATGGGTAAGGTGATAAGTTTTTAACTTAGAAGGGTGGAAAATAAGTTTCATTCGCATTTTGATGTTTGAGACACAACATCAGTTAAAATTGACAGAAAAAATATAATGAATGGGATATTTGTGCATGAATCTTCTCTCCAAACGGGTCGGGGGTACGGTGCACTTTTTAGATTACGAGGCATAATAAGTATAGTACACACTTTTGAGGTACTATAGGGGGGTGTGAACTTGTACAGTTTTCTCTTTTAACATTTTATCAACACTTATCCATATTTTACTCCCCCTTGTCTGGAAAATGTATCCATATTTTATAAATATATCTCAAAACTAATTCAATCAAAAGCACAAATTCATTGGTGTAGTCTAAATATTTTATATTCTAACATGTTTCCTTAGGTGCAGGTAAGATTTGTTTCTTTTTTAACCTTGCACATGAGTATGAAGTTTTTTTAAAACTAGAAGAAGGTAAAGTTTGAATTTGTGACTTCAGATTGTTGGGATTGATTAATTAAAAAGAAAAAGAAAAAGAAAAAAAGGAATATGCATGCATACGCATAATGCATGTGAAGTGGACCCATGATGCCATGTATGTGAAGGAGAGCTAATTGTCTCCTTCCCTTGGTTTTGGTGGTGTACGAAAGTAATGGGATGGGGATGCTTTTTTTTTTTTTGGCCTTCACCTCTTATAAGAGGAATCTTTTTCTATATATTTGGGTGTGAGTTTTACACACAGGTATAGGAGAAAAAAAAAAGAGAGGAAGGTTAAAGAGAGAGGTGTTCCACAAGATATCACCAACATTGTGTGAGTGAGTGTAGGGAGTAACTGGTTTTAGTTACTCGGAAAAATACATCCGGGTATAGGGTGTGAAAAGTCTGTTTATAAGTGTCTGGTATTTAGCACTTGTAAACAGGGAGAGTTTTTTGTGTATCGTTCTGAAATAGTGAAGATATAATTTTTCTCTCATATATTCTCCTTGTGTTTGTTCTCTCATTTTTTGGTGTTCTCAATATTTTTCGGTATCTTACGCGCTTAAAATCCCAACAATTGGTATCAGAGCCAAGTTACATTTGGGGCGGAGGGATTTCTAAGCGGTAAGAGAAGAAAGTCGAGAACTTGAAAAATGGCATCGGTAAAAAGTTCGAATGTTTCCGTCGAACCTTTCGATGGACGTGGCGATTTTACTCTGTGGAAACAACGAGTAAAAAGTGTTCTTACTCGGGAAGGGACAATCAAAGCTCTGAAGGTGAAGGTTCAGAGGACAGAAAAAATGACGGATGCTGAGTGGGCCAAACACCGGAAGAACGACAAACCGGAAAAATTGTCGGAAGAAGAGTGGGAGGATTTGAAGGACATGGCAACAAGTACAATATGCCTATGCCTTGCAAATAATACTCTTCGGGAGGTTCTCGGTTTGACGGACCCGGTGGATATTTGGGACAAGCTGGAGAGCCGGTACAAGTCGAAATCGTTGACAAGTAGGCTATACTTGAAGAAACGATTATTTGGTCTCCAAATGGCGGAGGAAGCTAACTTTAATGGGCACTTGGATGAATTCAACAAGATTACAACAGAGTTGGAATCCATTGATGTGAAGATTGAAGAGGAGGACAAGGCG